CATAATCTTCAGGCCATTATTGTCAGACAGCGAAATCATGTTGTGAGTGTGATAAACTTCCAACAGGAATACGATTAAAATCTTGCTGACATTTATGTTGCGGAGCATTTAGAGTGGTAAGCATTTCATGCAAACCCTTAACTAGATGTGATGCTTTAAATGTGACTGCTACACTTTGGTTTGGTTCAAGGCCCGTTTGGAGCGTGCTTCCCTTTAAAGCTGCTGAGTGATGCAGCAGTTTGCAAGTAAGAAAACACACCAGACTCCAAATATATGCATAAAACTGTGTATTCTAATGGACACTGTGCTGTAACTCTGAATATAATGCAAAAGTACTAAATAACAATTGAGCTTTGACGCTATACTAAATCTGCAGTAAGTTTTATGTACAAACGGTTTGTTTTTTAATAACACTGTGAGCGTGGTGCTGTTCACTACCCAGCAAAAACCACATGTTCTCCACATTCCTGTTTTTGTCCTGTGGAAACTTTGTATCCAGCAACCATGTAAAGATACTTTCCAGCTGTTTAAACTTTTTATTTAAAATCAGAAAGAAATGCAAGAACAGCAGGTACAAGGTGCTTTAGCAGGATGTTAACATGTAAATCTGTGTTTCTACCATGTTGTAACCAATTGCAGTACTTCTCTTTTCGTATTGTTGTGCACATCTTTTTACTTTGAATGTCTTTGGACACTTTGTGAACAAAACGCTTTTTTTTTTCTTCTCTCAGAATATTGTTCTAATAAAATAAGCAGCATTGAAAAGAAGTGGAGTTGGTTCAGTGGAAGTTTGTGGAAGATTTTAGAACAATGACAGTGCACACATTCAATGGTGACACGCTCAACTTCTCCAGATCGTGCTTATGGCATTTAATCTTACCACAGTAGTTCATAATAATATAAACATTAAAATTTATCAGCATGTTTTTTCTTTTTCTTAAACAGTCATCTACAGAAAGTATTTACAGTCTATTATTAACATGCTTTAAATATGTACAGCTTTAATGTCTCGCTTATTAACATATTTCCATTATTTCTTCATGTGTGTCTGTACAAACACATTACTCAGGCACACAGATCATGACTTTCTGCTCGCAAAAATGATTACCTGCTGATTCCTTCTGTTGCCTGCTGAGTGGAAGAATTCATCATCTCAGATATTTACGTCTTTCATTGCTGGGTGAGCGGTGTTTGTAGCAAATGGCCACATAGATTTAAAGTGCCCTGATTATTATATATATTTGTTGTTATGTAACATACCAGCATAATAGTGCAAAGCTAATGAGGCTAACAGAAAACAGAACAAAAATACAATTCTGACACAAACTTTAAGACTGTTGGAAATCATCCATCACTTGTTCAGGTGCCGCAGGTGTTGTGACATTTTTCAACCTGCTAATGTACACTGACGACATCGAGCAACATCATCTGACAGAAATGACCACACACACACACACACGTTAGCCATCTTAAAGAGAGCACTGCAGACAAAGGCTAAAAACAGCTGCTGGAGCAATGTACAGTATGAGAACGACAATGTGGCGTTATTTATTTATTTTTTT